GTGTGGTTGTGCCCGCGGCCCGGCCTCCCCCCTGTGGGGTGGTGTAGTGCGGTTGTGCCCGCGGCCCGGCCCCTACTGCAGCAGCAACGTCAATACCTTCAGGTGGGAAGTCTCCACTGTCACAAGGATCGGCTGTGTTTGACAGTTGATGGTTTTGGAGCCGTCACGTGGGAGAAGTGCGGCACGTACTCCCGAGCGGGGGGAGGCGGCAAACCCGGAACCGGGATCATATATATATATATCTCTCTCTCTCTCTCTCTCTCTGTCCCTCTCTCTATGCCTCGCGCTCTCCGGAAGTGGATTGTTTTCCGCAGCCGGCTTCAAGAAAAGCAAGCTTGGGTCGGGCAGCGAAAAGCGAGGCAGGCTGCCTGAAAATTGGAGGAAAGGCTGCTCCGTCCATTCTGCGATAAACATAATAAGGACCACCCAAAATAGTGTGGGTAATTATTTAGGCCCCTACATGGATCAAAACTTTGTCTGTACATCGGCTTCTGTCATTACAGTAACAACAACAGGTAGTGAAGGCTATGTTGATAATCACAACCATATTGCTATTTATTTGTGGCAGTAACAATGGCAACTCGACAAGCACTGCAAGCCACAATCACAAGTACAACCACAGCGATAAGACCGACCCCCGGTGTCTCAGCCGCGTGGCCCACTCTGCAGGGCCCCCTGCAGATCTCACAGCTTGCTCGCAGGTGGCTTCGCGCTGTCGGCCTCCTGCAGATCAGGGCTTTGGGTTCGTTAGGTTCTATAAGATTCTATGGGGTTCGGGAACTGAGGGATCTACAAGGCTCCACAAAGCATGAGATGCAGTTCTCCGCTAGCTTACCCTCCAGGAAGCACCTTCTCGGGATCACCCGGTATATTTCAAACATGCTTTGGCCTTGCACATACTGAACACCATGGCTGCCAGGAACCCTATAGGGCTCTCTGGCTACTTGCCTCCTCTTCGGCAGTATCGAAGGGGATCTTGGTTGCACGGGGGAGATCCTCGCACATCGAGGTCTCAAGTGCAGCTGCTTCACGACAAGACTGTCAGATTCAATGCGAAACACTCCTGCTGGCAAACTTGCCAGTGCCACAACATACAACTTCTGTGCATCGCAGCAGGCAGTTGGTGTCTACCAGGCCATTGCAAGGCTCACCGGGTAGATTAACAACTGAGTCCAAAAACCCGACGCTCGCCAAGATCAACCTTGTGGTTGCTAAAGCTACGATATTGGAACCCCTTGAAAGCCAACATATATACTATGTTCCGACATACCACTGTATATAGGGTGCACGGGCCCTTAGTGTGAAGCATCGGCATTCTACGACCTTCCGAAGTCCTTGATGCTGATGGGATGGGGCCTGCAGCAAGTAAGACTGCAAACATGAGACCAGCCTACAACGTGATCACGGTAGTGAGTGGCTTGCTGACTGGGCACTTCTGGGGCCGGCCGCAATGTTTCCAAGACCCACATCTCTCTTCAGCATCGTGCCTGTCACGCAACTCGCCCAGCGGTTGCCCGTAGCCTTGCTTGCGGTGTCTGCCGACAGCTCCGCTCTCTCTGTGTGCCGAAGTGCGGGAAGTTGCTGAGTTGCTTGCTTGTCGCCTGGTTGCACATCCCGGGACTCCATGAAGCTCCCTGAGGGCAGAAGCCCGAAATCACCCAGATTCCTTCTGAGATCGGTGCGGTTGTCGAAGTAGGCAATCCAATCCGCAAGACACTCTTTGTCCTCTCGGCATGATAAGAAAGAATGCTGAGAGTGCAAATAGCCTGGAAGAACCCCCAGCTTAGCATTCAGGCTTATACTTATAGTTCTCCCAGTCCCCTAGAGGAATCGAAGGTTCAGCTTTAGGATTATATCGGGATCTCGGTACCCCAAAATTAAAAGGTTAAAGGCTACTTACCATACTAGTGAGTACTCAAAGGGATCAGTTCTGCTACGATTGCGAGCTTTCCTGCTTGCTGCAGGAAAAGATACTGAAGTCAATATTGATGTCACGAATGTCCTTCACATGAGCCACATAACTTCTCACCGGTCTAGGCAGCTCTGAAAGCAACGATGTACTCAGCTGGGGCAAATTGCCTGATGCGCGTGCGCGCGCTCTTGCAGCTACACTTAGGTGGAGACGATACAAATGTGTGTGTGTATATATATATATATATGTACCTACATATATATATACATACATTACATCTACATATATAGTCATGACAACAAGATTAGCTCTCATGGGAGGCTCTCGTAAGCTTCAGCATCCAGAGACCTCCGAAGCTGCAGCCTGCTTGCGAGGAGTACGCGGTGAGGCTACACATGTAGAGGGAACCTCTATTAGTTGTTACCGTTGCTATTACTATTGCGATCAAAATCACTAATTAATACCATTGCAATTACAAGTGATGTATTGCTCCTGCGCTCACTCTTGCAGGGTCCTGCTTTTGGCAAGTCCTGGTCACTCATCCTGTACCTCGGAAGTTAGCCTATGAGGCATGTTTCAGAAGTCCTCGGCATCCAGGGTATAGTCGGTCTTATCCACCGTGTGCCTGAGTTGGCCCTTTAAAGCAATTGAAACCCTAAGCCGTAAACCTTAAACAAACCTTTACGGTTTGGGGTTCAGCTCATAGATAGGATCTTCTTAGGCCCCAAGGAGGAAAAATATATAAAATGTTCCAATCAAGGCCTACCTAGGTGCTTCTTGAGCGTCATCACCGCCAAGTTGTAGGTGCCATCGTGGCCTCAGGGTTTGTTTCAACCGCGTTAGCCGGTGAAGGTAATATAGAAGCCTAAATAATTACCTATGCTTTTTTGTGGGTTCCTTAGTATAAATATAGTATAAAGGGCCCCAAAACCATATTCTAATTATTAAAACCCCCATATTATGTGTCCGGGCCTCTGAAGTCTCCTGCATTTGCAGGCTGTCTTGTGGGGACTCTTGAACTGCAGAAGGGAGATGTTTAGGGTTTAGGGTTTAGGGATGGAGTTGAGAGTCTACGGTGTCACCCTAAACCCCAAACTCGAAACCCTAAGTTAGTGGCTCTTGATCATGCCTTGCTTGCGAGGATGTTTACATGACCGAGCCCGGAGCTTCAAGGCCCCCATCATTCCTAAACCTGCAAGAACGAACCATCCAAGAAATCACAAGCCCCACAAAATCCATCAGACCCTCGAAAATCTCTTATCCCGTACTCATCCCCATAACCAGAGCCGTAAACCCTCATCCCTATAACCGTCCTCTACCGTTAAACGGTAAGCCCTAAACTCTAAACCTTGATATCTTCGGATTCCACAGCTGAGCTCAGGGCCTGCAAACATCTCGTAAGGCCCTCGGCTGCATCAGCATCTAGGGCTTCAGGGAATCGGGATTTCAGGCTTAGGGTAGAGATTCAGCTCAGGTATTCTCTCTCTCTCTCTCTCTCTCTCTCTCTGGCTTTCCTTCCTTTCTTTCGCCAGGGCTGTGGTGGGGAGTTGACTCCCCACCGTGCGCGTGTGCGCCCCGCATGTAGCAGGTGCCAATGGTTTATTCGTACATGCATACAGAGGCAATGATCGCACATATAGGACAAGTTCGACAGTCCGGATCACAACAACAGCATGTTATAAGACAAAGCAGCCTATCATATGTGGGTCTGTGCCTTGTGATGGCCGGGGCGTTCCCCCAAAGGCATGGTGACATACTGATCCAAAGGGAAGTCACAAAGGCGAAAACCTGTGAGTGCTCAGGCCAGTAAAAGCGACATAAACCAATAAGTATCCCTGTGTCGGTCACAACCCACGAGCATGAGAGGACTAAGGCATTGTTACAGGCAGCATGACGAAAATGAGGTGAGAGTGTAGGTCAGTATGGCTTATACTTCGTAGGGCCGAGACAAAGGCAGCACAAACTTGGTGCAGATAACATTACGGGCCCAGTCTGACCTAGAGGCACACACAAGGTCTTGAATTTCGTCATGTTCGGCTCCTCAAGAAGGCTTGGATGCAATGAAAAGACCGGCCAGCTGAAATTATTCTGAGCAGGATCCCGCTTTGCTTTGCTAGGTCGTCCTGTGTCAATATCAGTGCACCCAATATAGGGGCCCAAATATAGACCAATACTATTTGGGGGTACCTTATTGTAGCTACCCCATACAAGCGTCGTAAGAGGGCTTGAGGTAGCAGCGCGCCTGCTACCCCACGCTCCGGGCGCTGCCCCATCCATCAGGTAGATAGATGGAGAGTCACTGTACTGTGGAATGTTGGTTAAACAGGTTAAACAGGCTACAGGTGTCGAGTGCTTCCGTGAGGGCAGTTGCAACAAACTCGAAGATCCCGCTCTCTCTCTCTCTCTCTCTCTCTCTCTCTCTCTCACTCCCTCTCTCTCCCTCGCGCAAGGTGTAGAACCCACATAACCCGAACCAGCCCTCAGGCTAACCCTCGACGCACACATCCGAAATCTGCTAAAGCCCATTTTCCGGCACCCCCAGGCATGAACATCTTGAAAGGAACGACCCCTAAACCCCAAACCCCTAAACCCTGACTCCAAAACCCCAAGCCCTGACCCCCAAACCCTGAACCAAAACCCCAAACCCCTAAAACCCCTAAACCCAAAACCCCCAAAACTCCTAAACCCAAAACTGTTCCCGAGACCACCGAGCCGAGAAGCCTCCTGGACCGAATGACTCCTTCGCGCCTGTGACGTCGTAGACGCGCCCGAGAACCTCTTTCTATGGGGTTTAGCGGTGTGGGGCTTCAGGGGTCTAGGGGTTTTAGGGTTTAGACTGTAAGGGTTTAGCGGTTTAGGGTTTGCGGCTTAAGGGGTGTAGGGTTCATGAGGCTCAAGGGGTTTAGGGCTTAAGGGGCTGAAGGGGTGTAGGGCTTAAGGGGGTTTACGGGGTTTGGCGAGTTTAGGGTTTAGAGTTGGGGGTTCATGGTTAAGGGGGTAAGGCATGATGTTTGGTCTTCTAGCAGCTAGCATCTATGAATCAAGCTGTATACAACGTTATGCAAATAGCACATTAATCGTCTACTTCTGGGCTATGGTATATATTTTTCAAGCTGACACGGCAGCACGCACCAACATGAGAAAGCTAGTTGGCTCCTCGGGGGCTGACGAATCTAGGTCAGCACGGGTACTTAGAACTTTATTCTAAGAATACCTAAAGGGTAATCCCCAAGGATCTGAATCGGAGGCTTCTCACGATCGACGAAGCAGCAGTTTTAGACACGGTAAAGTTGCCAAAAGCCCCCTCCTCTGGCCATGCATATCATGAGTCACATATATATATATATACACACACACACATATATATATATACACACACAGCCTATTTGCGTACATACATACATACATACATACATACATACATACAGAGAGACAGAGAGACAGACAAACAAACAGACAGACAGACAGACAGACATACGTGTGTGTGTATATATATATATGTATATATATATATTAATATATAGGCGCGCTATGGGGACATCATTACACAAAATAAATTACAGGCTCGGTCTGTCGAGCGCCGCTCCCCTGCTGACCCGGAATCGGGACTCCACAAACTTTTTTCAAACCGAACTGAGACCGATAGAAGCCACATTGACTCAGCACCAAAAACACGAATGTTGCGAATCCCTTAAGTTTAGATCTCTTTACATTATGCGTGGGTTTTTGGTACAACACATCGTCGCAAAAAATCACAACCAAAAATCAATTCTGACAGGAACATCCAGGTAATTGGCTTTCGACTGGGATGCCAAGGCTCGGGCGGAGGTGAGAATGGGCTTGCCCGGGCCTTTGCCGTCGAACTGTGCCAGCTCGGCAGAGGTGAAGGCCTGGTTTTTGTTGCATTAGATTTTTTCCTCTTAGGGTCCTTTGTGTAAGGGTAGCGTACTATATAGTTATAGTCCAAGCAGGGACGCTACTTTAGAGAACTATCCGAAAAATAACCACTTGACTCTGGGATGGAATTCCAGTGGAGCGCAAGACAAAGGAGACCATAGGATCCGGACTTTAAGGACCCCAATCCAAAAACAAAACCCAGGACCCCAAGACCTCACACAAGGATACACAAGGGATCCCCCAGAAAAACAAAACACCTGAAACAGTAGGATCCTGACTGTAAGGATCCCAAATTCAAAACAAGGGATTCCTACTATACTGTACCCTTTCGCTGCCCTTAAACCCTAAACACTACTATAGAACCCTAAATGCTAGGATCCTGTCTTGAAGGATTTTTCGAAATGAGGGAGCCCAATTTTCCAATGAAACATATTTAATTTACGAGTCCTAAAACCTCTAACCTTCGGAAGAGTGGGAGACTTGCTGAAAAAGGCGCTCCACTCAAAGTTGCTATGGCAGGTGGTATAGAATAGTAGCCACAGCATACTAAGACTATGATCTATCATAGCATGCCGCGGCACATCATGGCTTGCGGTTCTCAGTTCGGAAACTCACAGCGAGACCCGAAACTGTAGCTCAGAACAATTCTCACCTTGTCTGCGGGCGCCAGCGGCGGAGGCGGAACTTTCCTCTTCTTGGCGGGCGCGGAGCCTGGCCGACTAGCTTGGGGACCCTCAGACGAGGACGAAGGATGCATATGTGGCTGCGAGATACAGGGTGAGGGTTTCCCCGTTCAGGCTCACAGGGCTGGGTTTTGGTTTTTTACTTTGCCTCCCACCTAACTAGGGCGAGCCCGCCTACCCAGTTCGGGTCTACGATTTGGGGTTCAGGATAAGTTGAGCGGGCTGACAGCAGCGATTTACAATGGCGGTATTTCTGCCGGCCTGCCCCAGCGCTCGCTCCCTGCGCACCGCAGTTCGTCGGAGGCACAAGTCAATACTGTTCCCAACCACCCGGATTCAGGCCTTCGTTGATGCGAAGGAAACACCTTCAAGTTTGGCCACGCTGTATGCCTCCAGTCAGCACGAAAATGGTCTTGCAGAAGCTCGGGTGCCCGGACCCCAGACCTGAAATCCCCACAACTCGAGAAAAAGACCGCGAATGTCGGCCTCATCGAACAAGGCCAAAATCAGGCCGTAGATGGTGCGCATGCAGGCCAGCATGCGATCTAGCGGGCTTCAGAATTCCTAGGTCCTAAGCCTGACTGACCCTTGGCGCACTGTAGTTTGGCTGTCACAGGGCCATCCACGATCAGGACAGGGTTTCGGGGTGAAGCGCCGCTGTCTTTCTTAGGAAGCTGATAATGAAGGGTTACACTATATTTGTATAGGGATTAGCCAGGGCAACTATGAATGATTGTTCCGGCAGTAAACCCTATATAATTCTTAAACCCTATAGACCCAGGGTTGTGTTGGCGCTGGCAATGCCCCAATCCAAGCCGCACGCCTCGCTGAGCATCCGAAATGGAGAGCTGGTCCATGCTGTCCAAGTAGCCTCGACATTGAAGTAATGTGTTTGGTGACTGGGGCTTACGGAACCTGAACCGACGGCGCCGACATGCGGCCCGCAAGAAGCCCAAGAGCAAGAACATGCGAAGTCCGACAGCTTTTCAACCCTGTACGTATGTATATGCAAACATGCATATACATACACATACATGTATATATATATATATACATATGTATATATATATATGCATATGTATATGTATATGGTCGCCCCCCCCCCCGTTGACAGACCATGCCCTTTAATCAGGCATGATCTCTCAACGGATGGGTGACAATCACCTCTTCTAATTTCAATTCCGAAGTTTCCAAAATTCGCCCCTGTAGCTTTCCAGAATATCCAAAACTTCCCAAATATCCAAAAACTCCGACATTCCTCCCCTGACTTTCCGAAATTTCCAAAATTCTTTCCCCCTAATATTAAGGACCGACTCTGCCACATAGGGTCCAGATTTTTGGAAACTTTGGAAATTGTGGATTTTTTTGATTTTTGGAATTTTTGTGAGATATGGAATTTTGAAAATTTTGGAAGCTTTTAATTTTGCACATTTTTTTGGAGTTCGCAAAATTGTTTGCAATTTTTGGGAAATCTCTGCACATTCATGCAACGCTCCTAAACCTAATCTTAGTCTACGTCTTAGTCTTTCTTCTAGCCTTGACTCAGCCTTGTTTTTACCGATAATCTTAGTACCACTATGGTTGTTGGTAGTTGTCTTAAAACCATTATTAATGTTAGTTTTCGTTTTGTGGCAGTATTGATATTAGCATTAATATTCGTTTCATATTAGTATTAGCATGAGTATCTAGTATTTAGTATAAGTATTACTATCAACAGTAGTAAATACAAATTAGTGTTAGCGTTCGTGTTAGTGTTGGGGCCATTGTCAATGTCAGTGTTAGTATTAATGCTAGTATTGGTATTGGTATCAGTCTTAATGCTGTCAGTTTCAATATTCGCAGACGCACTAGCATTAGTGCTACTATTAGAATTAGTGTTCACATGTTAGAATACTCATAGACTCGTACATTAACAAAATGAAAGATCAATACGTTAATATGTTGGTATAGTAGTATATTTGTATACTTGTATACTAGTATATTGATATATTAGTACATTATTCATGAGTACATTAATATATTAATATGTTAGTATATATATTTGTATAGTCGCATATTAGCATATTAGTATATCAGCGTTTAATAATATTTGTGTATACGACTATATTCCGATATTCACCTACTAGTAATGGTTCGTACATATATCAATATGTTGACATAGTAGCATCTCGATCAATATACACGTATACGTATATTAACATATCAGTATGTTCATACATTAATATAGTATCTTAGCATTTTGGTATAAGGGTGTGCGAAAAATAATATAACATCAGAACATGAATGCGATTTTTTCATTTGAATATATCGGCATGCATGTTTATATACACTAGTATATATAGGTATCTATCAGTATTGGTATTACTAAACATTTTCATATCGATATGAATATGATCACTGGTATTCGTAGAAGTATTAATGCTAATATGAGTATTCGTATTGTCATAGTCGTATCTGCCAAAGAATACGTGTTAAAAGCATCACAAAAACAAGTATTAACAGGAGTATTCAAAAAAAATCAATGTCAGTACTAGTATTGGTAACCGTATGTCATTAACAGCCATGAGAGTATACGCATTAGCATTCCCAGGAGCATTAACACTTACATTAAAGTGCTAGTACAAACATTGGCACGAATATTGATAACAGTGTTAGCATGAATATTAATACCAATATGATGACTCGTATGCACAGGAATACGAGTATTGGTATTACTCTTGAGTTTCGCATTAGTATTAGTAGTAGCATTAAGATTGATATGAATACTACTTCTCGTATCACTGCCACTACGAGTAGAAGTGTTCGTAGGAGTAATAGTATTCAATTTACTATGAAGTATAGTATCATGGTTAGTACAAGTTTTCAGACCTTGTATCAATATTAATGCAATTCTGAGTATTAATCGTCGTAGGGATATTAATCTTAGTAGTAGGGTTAGTTTCGTAATAGTACAAGTATTCATCTTAGTATGAGTATGATGTTAATATTCGTTCGTAGGAGTATGACAGACCGCGGTAAACATACACTGTGTTCCTGGCAGGTGACTCGGCCAAGATCGGCTCCTGTGACATTCAACCCCTCAGGAAAAGCACGGCAACCTCCACTAATCTTAATCTGATCGTACCTAGAAACTCTTGTATCTATGAACATTCAAAAGCGAGAGTAGCAGCGATGACGACGAATAGCGAAGCCAAGGCAGATCGCAGTCTCAGGCACAGAGGTTGAGAGAGAGTTTCGATGTGCATTGACTGACCATTCGTTGACGAGAAATGCTGATTAAAACATGTATGTGATTGCAGCCAGGGCGCGGCAGTGCCAGTTCCCGGATCCGAGCCGCTGAGTACATTGATATTATTAATGCTAACATTGAAAATTAAGATGTAGATATAGATATAGATATAGATATAGATATAGATATAGATATAGCTATAGATATAGATATAGATATATATATATATATATATCTATATCTATATATGTATATATATATACACATGTTTGCACTCACGCTCGACCAGGTCAGGCCATATATATATACACAAACACAGACATGTGTATATATATATATACACATATACATAGACCGAGGCCATGGCTCTGAACACGGCCATGGGTCGACCTTAAACAGTCAGGCCGGGCGTGCCCCACAAGGCTAGCCGCCCTCATCGTCATCCATCCGCATTGGAAAACTGTATAAAACCCAGCATCGTCTTGCAAAGAGTTTTTTTGTTTTTTTAACCCGCCCATCGCCATCACCCTTGGCATCAGGATGATGGCGCTGGTGGTGGTGGTGGTGGTGGTCGCTGTCGTCGTGATGGTGCGGATGTAACTGTGCGTTATTCTGAGTGTTATGATCAAGAGCACCGTCGACACCGACATGCTGGTCTCCTCATCATCATCATCATCATCTACTCCTATAGTTTTCGTCACCACCATCACGCCCCGCTCCCTCCTCCTCCTCCCCCTCCTCTCCCTAATGTTCCTACAATCACACTCTTCCATGCACACGCAACACAAAGTGCCAAGACGCAATTTGTCTGACACGCATCTCTGTGTTACCCCTTGCTGGGCTGGCTGCTGGCCTGCTGGCAGGCTGAACGAATAGAAGCGTGCTCCTGCAGAGTCAATGCTTCGAAACTTCAAGGTCTTGGTTGAGTACTCACGGCGGCAAGCCGTGCGTTTGACATTAGCGCACTGAGTGTCCTTCTGGAGCGCTTTTCTGCGCCCGGTTTGCCACCTTTCCGCCCAAGAACCTGGCCGAGACACATCTAAGTTGCAAGGCACGCTAGATCTATCGAGCATCACTCACGTGAGGCTAAAACAGAAACAGAAAGCACACGCCGAAGTCACAGGAAACCATGCAACCAGTTTTAGAAGCAAATCGGCAGCGGCTGGGACTTCCACTGGCCCCCGCTGAGGACGGCGTTGTACTGCAAGAAATGGTGGCCTCCGGCTTCGGATTATTCTGATATTTACACGGGGTCTTCCGGTTGTCAGTAGGCGGGCGTTTCGGTGTTGCTTTTCCATGCTGCTCGTGTGGCAATCAAGCAGAAGTCTCTCTCGCTCTCGCGCAGTCTCGAAGCGTCAGCTGCGTTCATGCATGACCCGGTACACAGGCAACTCCGCTGCCTTCATCTTCGCCACTAGAGAACATGTAAACTCCAACAAGATGAGGTGCATCGCTACTCTACGAGCCTGCCAGGACAGATTCTGTTTAGAAACAGCTGAAAGCCTCAAGACTACTCAACGCTAGTACTCTGCCAGCGAGGCCCAAGCAAAACAGCAGCCAGGGGTCTTTGGCATCCTCCGCTTGTCGGATCTAGGATTAGACTCACGTGTCTGATTCATGCTCCTTGCACTCGGACCAGCTGGATGAGATTCTTGGTTCGACAAGTGCCGAAATCACACTCTGCCGAACATCTCCACTCAACCTCAAGGGGACCCCGAGCTCCTGGACGAGTTCAAGACCGCTAAGACACTGGCAACCACACTCGAGGATCTCAATCGGACTATAACCCTCAGCGGAGTTGGTGCGATGGTGGGGTCACCCCCCCTCCCCTCCCCCCTCCCCCAAAACCCCCGCCACAGAGAGAAAGAGAGAGAGCGAGGCAGCCGGAAGTGGCCCAGAATCCCGAGGGCTGAGTTGGCAGAATGAGTGCTTTTGGTGGACGGACACGGCTTTTGGAGCTTTTCGTAAACTCGGTGCAGTCGTTATGCGACAGCGGCCGGCAGGCCAGCAGAGGGGTTTCGCCAGTCCTGCACCTCTAAGACCTGTAAGCCCGCATGGAGGAAATCGTTGCTCGGACAGGCTTTCTGTGCAGTTCACCTCCCTTCGGCTCTCATACTCGCAACTGCAAGCAAAGACCGCAAAGACATGTCAACGCGAAGCGGCATGGCAGCCTCCTGCAAAACAACTTCACGCTCGCTCGTACCCTGTTTCCAAAGAGCCGACCCAAAGCCCTATGTAAGAGACACTTCGTCACAGCCGACAAACTCAAGAAGCTTGACGCCAAACACCAACAGCTTGTGCGATAGCAACAGCCAGCATCGCCTGGTCATACCCATGCATGACCTCGTCAAAATAACTTCATAAATGAGATAGTGAGTTGTACTGAAGCCGCAACCACCAAACCCCACCGTGCCGAAGCCTCGGAATGACTACCATGACTACCAGACTACCACGCATTTTAGCAAAAAGGCTGCACATCTCCGAACATCTCCCACGTGTAACAACCAGAAGTGACACCACGACGAGGAGACCCCAGGCCTACAGGCAATAAAAAGCTTCAGCCGAAATCGGCCACCAATTCGAGCTCCCTAAACCCTAAACCGAAATTCCAATTTTATAGAGCTAAGCCCTCACCCCAAAAT